TTAAGCACCGGCACCGTTTCAAAAGTACCGGTTTGGTACTGGTATTGGATAAAACCTAAACGATACCCATCCCTAGTCCTTGGTGGCCTTCATGTAATTGGTGAAGGACACTGGGTCTGAGTGCTGTGGGAATTACAATGCGATCGTGGTAGAGCACTAGACCATTGGATTCTGAAAGGTGGCTTCTGGCTGCATAAAAGCCTTGCAGTGGTGAGCTCTTTGCCATTCTCCGAGGCCACTCTTATCTGATGAAGGTGATTGTTTTTTGAAGCTCTGGGTCCCTCTGTGTAGCTCTATGAATTTCCTCCAACTTATGTGACTTGATAGGTTTGCTTGTCACTACGTTGCTCACATATGCCTTGACCTGGCTGTCTGTCTCGCACGGGTAGCATCCGTGCAGTGGATGTCTGGAGAGTGCAGAAAATGTGAAAAAATGAAAAAAATGACCTGTTGGATTAACAACAAAGAATATGTTCATGTGTTACACAGGATAAATGTTATGTGTAGCTTCAGTGTTAAAACTGCACAATATGCAACCAAACAGGATTTATTGTTGTTTTTCATTCATGTTTTTACTCTCCCCTCCTGTTAATATAACCCAAAATGTTTGTTAGGATTAAACTTTTTTAATGTTAAGTGTATTTAGTTCCCATAGTTAAACCAATATAATAATTTTATTCCAATAATTATTTAGTCTATTATGTCTTTTAAACTGCTATTTAACATGTTTTCAGTATTTGTCATAAATACTTGTTGGTAAACCAAACCTGTGTAAAATATAAATTCTAAACACTTTAAAACAGTAAGCCAATAAACAAAAACACTTCTTTAAGCAGTTATCTGTGTTTCACACTCAACACGGTAACACATACAGCTCATCTCCAGCGAGATACAGTGCAGCGGTAAAGTTCTAACAGTAGAATCACTAAAGTGTCATGGTAACATAGTGAAGTCAGTCTTTTAGCTCCAAGACCAGCTCGAGCGCAGCCACGGCCCCTCCAAAGGATCCTTCACCTCAGGAGAGAATCCGGATCCCAGGAAGCAGATTCTGTCCATCTGGACGTTTTCACTGAGAAACGTTTCATCATCATCCAAGACTGAAGACGTCACTGGGATGAGCGACAAAACGTTTCTCCCATGAAGCCTTTGGGACTTGTAAACAGCACATTAGCACAATGACTAACAATGGGCTGTGAGGTCAGTTTATGATCATGTCAATAGGAAAATTGTACTTAGTAGTCAGTATAATCTTTCAGTGATATAAGTTTGCATGGTAGAATGCTGCATGTAATCACTTGTGTGTAGAAGTATATAGTTGGTGGCATATTGAAAGAATGTCTCATCCTAGGAGGTCTGT